AAGAACCATGATACTCCAAGGAAATTGAAGATTACAAAACAAGGAGCTAAATAAGATGCATAACGTGTTTTAGAATCATCATGAAATGTCATGTAAATTTTGCTGCAAGATTATCATTTTCTTTATTTTTAACAGGTTATGTGCTTCTGTCATTTTACTTAAAAACTACAGACAAATTGACTTCGTCGACATGAAGAATCCGCCATGCTCAGTTTATACTTATAAACCTTAAATGCAAAGAAGTGGCTTTAAGCTAGTATTACAATTGTACTGACCAAAATATATAATAGCTAGCAAAAAGAATATTTTGTATCTCTATTTGGAAGTACTAAATAATGAATTATCAATACTGGAAAAAAAATCTTGAATTCATCATATAGCAACAAAACCCAAGCAAACATACCTTAGTAGGATGAGGATCAACCGCATCGAGGCACAGTAGATGAACCACAATAATGTAATGTTTTTCATATCATCATCTACTTCTCTGCCACATCGTGTTATGCTCTGCAAGATGAACCATTTCACCAAGTTAGCTATAAAACCTAATTGCAAAATTGACGGAACCAATTGGGGTATAACCTCAGAAAATGATATTAAGGATAAATACAAGATTTCGGGTTGTTCTTCGAGAGGCCCCATGCCTCATCTGTGTACAACCCGAAAAACATGTAGCATGGATACTTTGCGCTCTTCATCGTTCCTGGTGGCGATGCCTTGTGGTAGTCAAAGAAGAAGGTCATGATTTGTAGGGTGGAGACACAATTTTTGGAAGCTTTATTAGGGCTCTGATGAAAAATGCAAATGGAAGCAGGTTTTGTTCTATTTTATGGGCTGGGTTTATTTTGGTTGGATTGTGGGTTATGGACTACATTTCACAACGTCTACAATTCATGATCCCTTCCATGGATAAAACTTCTACCATGGACGAAGCCCTTGACGAGGTACGAACACTCTTCAAGGGATCACTTCTAACGAGGATGTCCACTTCGATCGGAGAGGCACGTGACACCCCACTGGGATCGTCTCTGATTCAATCAAAGATGATGCTTTTCATGAATGAACCATCCACCATGGAGAAACCCCTTGACAAGGTACGAACGTCCCCCACAGGGTCACCTCTTCCAAAGAAGTCCACTTCAATCAGTGAGGTGTATGACACCCCCACAGTGGTCGTATCTGATTCTATCGAAAATGATGCTCTCTATGGATAAATCATCCCCTACAGAGTAAGCCCTTGACGAGGTATGGACACTTCCATGGGGTCACTTCTTCCAAAGATGTCCACTTCGATAGTGAGACACGTGACACCCCCACAGGGGTTGTCTCTGATTTCATCGACGAAGATGCTCTCCATGGATGAACCATACACCATGGAGGAAGCCCTAATAAAGTGCAGATACCCCTATGGGGTCACTTCTTCTAATGATGTCCACTTCGATTAACGAGACGTGTGACACCTCTACAGAGGTCATATCTGATTCCATCGAAGATGATGCTCTACATAGATGAACTATCTACATGGTACAAGCTCTTGAAGAGGTGCGAACACCCCCCACGAGGTCACCTCTTCCATAGATGTCCACTTCGATTGATGAGGTATGTGACACCCCCACAGGGTCGCCTCTGATTCCAGCGAAGCTGATGCTCTTTATGAATGAACCATCCACCATGAACGAAGCCCTTTACATTGTTGTAACACCCCCATGTAAAGATTTCAGCTTATCCTAAATACTTATATTTAGAGTCTTGTCCCTATACCAATTTCATCATAGTTACTTATCTATTCAGAGTCTCACATCTACCTCATCATCACTTCTACCCAAAAGTCCAGGCATTATATGAATATCTATACTTGACTTGGGAGACTATTGTGATATTAGTATCTTAGTATCATTAAATATTATTGCGATACTAGTATCATTACATATTATTGCTAGCATATACATTATATAGTTGTTACAAAGTACATATGTCACATCGCTACTAGTATATCATGACACTATTTTCACTACTATCTGTACGTATGTCACATCATAAACATGTTGCTTCACATTAACAATACTATTACAATGAGTTGTGCAAGCATATGACATGCTATGATAGTTTATAGGCTCTTTGCATATTATATCTTGGAGAAATGTGATATGTTATTATTTACCTTATCGTCATAAGTAATTTGAGGAGCAAATGGATTACAATTTATTTTAGATATTTGCAATGGATATATATTAGGTTAGTTTAGTCCATATTACAAAGGAGAAGCTGCTGAAATTTTGAAAAATTATATGCAGTATCTATCTTTTGGAGTAACCTGTAAACCTTCGCTTATTCAAGCTCACACAGATATTTTCGAGGTAATTCATAAGTCCTCGAATATTGGAGTGGCTTATGTTCTCGTGGTAATTCGTAAGTCTACATATATTCAGCTTATGTTCTTAAGACAGTTTATAAGGCTCACTTATTGGAGCTACTCATATTTTTGAGACAATCTTTAAGAACTCGCTTACTGGACAACTTATATTTCAAAGTCCGACCAGAACATGAATGTATGACTCAGACTTGAGGGACTACTGTTTTTACACCCCATTTTATAATAGTCCAAAGTCAAGATTTTTTATTCAAATTCAAAGGTTCGACTAGTCAAAGTCAAATAGGGACTTATATGAAATAAATCATGTTCTTAGAGTTTATTTTATAATTGACAATATTTGAAGGTTTAAGATGGATTTAATTTAAAGCTATGGACATGCTTATCTATTATTTGATGTTAAATGATTAAATGTTATATTAAATTGAAGATGAGGGGCTTCTTTTTCAAAAGTGGAGTTAGTGGAGCACAAGTGTCTCTTTATAAACCATTGTCTTCCTTTTATATACACATACAAAAGCTGAAAATGGTACAAAGGCATAAGATCTAAAAAGAAAGAAACAAAAAGGACAAAGAAAGAAAAGGGGGAAAAAAAAGGAAAGAAGGAAGGAATTATGTGCTAACTTCTTCAACCTTGAGTTCAATTTCTTCGTTCTTAAAGAGGTATAGAAGTAAATGTTTTATGGTATAATTTATTTTAAATATCGAGGGTTTTGATTTGTTGGTGTAATTTTCAGATTAAATGAAAGGAGAATTGTTTCAAGCCAACTTTCTTGATATGCTATGCTAATTGCATAAGGTAAGCAATTCTAACAAACCCCAGAATTTTTAAATGGGTTATTGAGTAAAAATAGTTTGTGGAAATGTTATGTTGATAGAAGCTTATATACTTTGTCATGATACTGATAAATTGACCTTGTCTTGAGTGAATGGGAAAAAAATTATTTTTTAGAAATAAGTATTTACTAAATTTATAGTAGATCACAAAGTTACATATTTCTTATAGTTGAAGTGACATCATGATTTTCAAAATAAAAATGGATTTTATGATTAGTTCTTTTAAAAGTTAAATTTTGTCCAGATAAATCATTTCATTGGCATGTTATATTAGTATATTTCAAAGTGTCTCAAGTTATTTTTAAAATTATTAGAAAGTATCCAACTGATTTTACCCTCTCTACACTGGTGTGAATGTGTTTTCACAGTGTACGACTATTATTGTGACTTTACAAGGTCTTCACTATTGTCAATATGGTATGATAATGCATGACTAGATTATAGCCTTTGGGCAGCTCTGCGCACGTATGACTAGAATTACAGAATTGAATAGCTTTGCCACATATATCCTTATTCATTGATACATGAGTATTTTATTCTGGTTATCTTTTTGGTGTGATTTTTCAGTATTATACGGCTTCTCAGATTTCAAATTACATAATCTAGTTTACTCAGTTTACATAATAAAGATTTCTGCTTAGATAGTAGCTAAGTTGAGCAATGTTGGAACGTGTCCATCCACTGAATTGAGCCACACATTGTCAGTAGTTGTATGTCCCATTTTGTCAGTTTATATAGGTCATATTTCTTTTTGGTATACATGCATCTTTTGTCATAAAAGTTAATTTGTAATTTATATATTCATGTCATGGGCTCACTGCATATTTGGTATCTGTAGTGTTTTTGGGACTTTTGTTTATAAGTAATAGTAAAGTTCAATTTATCAGTATCATATTTTGTATAGTTTGTGTTTTGAGGGGCTGGTGTACTATATTTTAAATTATATGTACAGGTTTGAGTAAATTGGTTATTGTTCAGGCTTTTTTAGTCCATATTACAAAGGAAACTTTGTCAAATTTTTATATAAAAGTATGTTACAGTCAAAGCATGTCAAAGTTGCCTTGGTGGTGGGTCCGACACTTAGTTAGTATCTACCATTGGTGCACGGCACATGTCGGGTCCATAAGGTGATTGGGGCTGGTCGGGTCAATTGTTATATCCATAAATTACGTGGCATGCTACAATCTATAAGACATTACCTACTTGACTACTTATATTTCAAAGTCTAATCCGCACATGAATGTACGACTCAGACTTGGAGACTATTGTTATATCCATAAATTACGTGGCATGCTCAGACGGAGGTGATAGGATCTGTTGACGTATTTTTTGAGGTCAACAAGAATGTAAACCAGAACAGCAATAACTGATGAAGAATTGGACAGCCAGGTTAGTTTGGTTAAGCATAAAAAATGTAAAAGTACATTTTGTTTCCAAACTAATTTGAAACTTTTAAAAATGAAAATAATTATTTATTTAGAGGTACATTATCCATAATGTCTGAGCTTCCATCTGCTGCAGTTGATGAAGAAATATGGGTTGATTCCTCGGTTTCCATGGCTTCGATACAAAAATGGAATCACTAGTTTTACCATAAAAACTGATGGATTCCTTTCATAGAATTGTTCTGTAGAGGTATAAAGAAAATTGCATATTTTTATCTTACCTGCCATTTGAAGAGAGTAAGGATCTCTTAATAGTGGGAGCCATATTGTCTATCTATTTTGAGCATTGCCCTCTAAACAAACGAAACGAACAAATCCCACAAGAATCCCTTATTTGCATTTTGTAATCATATGGAATTTGGACAAGAATCAAACAGTGAGATTTTGTACAGAGCAATTGCTAGTAGGAAAATCAGGGGTGTTATTAGCAATATGGACTTCAGACAGGCATTTGCATGGTAAGACTGAGAGAATGCATGGAAATCAACATTAGACGCCAGAGTGTCAAGGGCAACTGCTCGGCTCATTTCATCTGACCACGTGTAGCTGCATTCAATTAGACGAAGACCAGCATCAACATTTAATGGGAGTACTTAGGTTCTTTTTATTCTTAGTGTTGTAGGTTTTTTTGTGTTGGTACTAAACTCTTCAGTGTTGTAATCAAACCCGACTTGTAGTAGAAGAAACCCCTTGAACAGCTGCAAATATTCAGTAGAAAAGTTCCAAAACTCGTGGCTGAGTCATTTTTATTATGTGCTTCAATGTTCTGCCTTTTGAACATGCAACAACAACCAACAAAGTCTTGATCTAATTACTTTGAGATACACTATCCGAATTCTTTTCGCCGCTCCATTCAATGTATTGCTAGATCTACAAGAAGATCTTGGTTTGATTCATGAGAGAGAGTGAGTGTTACAACCCATTTTCGTTTGGTCAAAAGTCAAATATGGAATTGTCAAAGTCCTAGTCAAAGAGGACTTAAGTGAAGCAAAT